TTTTTTGAGTTAATTTTTGTATATGGCATAAGGTATGGGTCAAAATTTATTTTTTGTGTGTGGATATCCAGTAGTTCCAGCTCCATTTGCTGACAAGACTATCCTTTCTTCACTGAATTGCCTTTGAAGTTATGTCAGAAGTCTGATGTCTATGTATATTGTGAGTCTGTTTCTAGACTCTGTTCTGTTCCATTGATCTATTTCTCTCACTTCACATCAGCACCTTACTGTTTTGACTGCTGTAGCTTTACAATTAGCCTTGAAATCAGATAATGTTAGTTCTCCATCTTTGTTCTTTCACAAAGTTGTTTTGGTTATTCTAGGTTTTTTTGCATCTATACGCGATTTTGTAATCAACTCATCAATTTATGAAACAACAACAAAAAAACCTGCTGGGATTTTTAATGGGGATTGCATTAAATCTGTAGATCATTTTGGAGATAATTGATATCTTAATATTATTGAAACTTCCAACTCATGAACAAGATTTTTCTCTATTTAGATCTTTAATTTCTCTCAGCAGTATTGTATAGTTTTCAGTGTATAGGAATTGCATATATTTTGTCAGCCTTATCCTTTGAGTATTTCATACTTTTTGATGTTTTTGTAAATGGTATTGTCTTTTTAACTTAAACATAGAAGTGCAATTGATTTTTGTATATTGATTTTAAATCTTGAAGCCTTGCTAAACTGACTTATCTGTTCTAGAGCTTGGTTTTGTAGATTGCATCACATTTTTTATATAAACAATCATGTCTATAAATAAAGACAGCTCTACTTTTTCCTTTTCAATCTAGATGCTTCTGATCTCTTTTATGTGTTTACCTTATTGCGCTTCCTATAATCTCTTTAATATGTAATTTATTATGTAAAACATTAAAATATGTTGAATAAAATTTATGATAGAGAACATCTTATTCCAGATGTTGGGGGAAAGGATTTAGTCTTTCATTTTTAAAGTAGGTTAGGTAAAAGTTTTTCATAGATGTTCTTTATCAAGTTAAGGAAGGTTTCTTCTTTTCATAGTTTGCATAGAGTTTTTAATCTGGAAGAGACGTTGGATATCGTCAAGTGCTTTTTCCATGTCCTTTGGTATGATCTTGTGTTTTTTTTTCC